GGGTAACGTACACAGCAACTGATGATTTCACGGCCCAAAGTTGCGACACAATCACCACAAATCCACGTATTTCTACCCGGGCCTTTATATAAGTGTCAAATCGATAGGCTGAAGGATGTATAGGCATGTCATGTAGGTGAATGTCATAAAAACTACTCGGTACTATAGTGATAAGGGAGGCTGAGTCAAGTTCCATGTCAATATGTGTTGTTCTATCGTGTGTAATAACTGTAACAGTACGAATGTCAAGCATAGGTAGATTATGTCCTGACCACTTGGAACGATAATTAGACACAATACCTGTGTTATCAATGGAAAATACATTTTCAGTGGACTGTAACTGCTGACTAGAAACGGAATCTGTAGGAAGCAACTGAGCAATGCGTACTGAAAGACAACAACGGACAAAATGTCCACGCTTACCGGACATTTTGCAATCCATTTCTAAGGCAGGACACTTGGTAAAATTGGCTTTATGCTGTAGGATACTGCAACGGAAGAATTTCTGTGGGGATTGGAATTCGTTTGGCGAGCGATGGATCTTGGCAACCTCCTGTATGTCTGCGTGGGTGACGAAACATCGCCACTTTTCGACCGTACATGTTTTGAGGCGAGCTAATTCCACAGCCTTCTCCCAAATCAACTTGGAAGCGTCTTCGGAAAGTAGACATTCCCGAATTCGGTTGTTGGTGATTCCACTAATCAACTGCTGCACTAGCATTACGCCCTCGATTCTATTTTTCGGTATGGTTGAATAGTCGCAGATTCGTACACCGCGGATGAGGCGATCAACGAAACCGTCCAGAGTTTCCGATGGTTCCTGTGTAAGTCAGCCGAATTTGAGGCGAGCCATGAAGAGGTTTGTACGCTGGCCCCATGACTTGTCCAGCACCTCTAGTGCTTTCGTTAAGGTATTTTGTGACTGCAGCTCCAAAGCATCAAATTGACGTTGTCCCTCATCACCGTGTCTGAGAAGCTTCACTTGCTGGCCTTCAGTATAGTTAGAAGCCGCATGTTGTAGGTCAAGATAGTTTGTAAACGTTGTTTTCCGCTGGGCTCAGCACTTTCCGTAGGTCGTAAGGTCGGATCAGACCAATACAGTGAAGGAGGATGTAATTCCATGGCGTAGGTTCGTATGCCAGTGTTGTGTACGAAGGTCAAATGCAAGAGCCGTAGTAAGGTGGTCACTTCTGATCTGTAATCTGCTGGATGATTAACTGGGTGCATACATAAGGGTGTCGCAAGGAGAAGGATGAACCAATAGGGAAGCAGAGAATTGGACGCTTTGTGTGTGCCTCTGGGGTTGCGTGCAAGTGTCTGTCTTGGTTAGCCGTCAAGAATGCTGACAGAATATATAACACCATGGTAGAACTGTTCACAAGCAATTTGAATATCCTGTGATAAGAAATATGGATCCCAATTTGAAGACCTTAATAGATTCGAGAAAATTGACCAATTCACAGAAACTAATGGATGGTAATTGATTCTATCGGTTTAGAAAGCATTTGGAAAGAACAACCAATGATGCTTGGATCGCTACCCGGCAATCTGTCACTTATGTATGTGGACACATGTGAACACCCCATGGTAAATATTAGCTGAAGTGTGTTACCAAACCGAGTGGGCTCTCTGACGTGCCATATCCATCCCGGTCGACCAAGAGTAGAGATGAAAGTATTGTGCTTTTGTGGTTCATTGTTAAGGGACCATGGGATTTCGCGCATATTAAACTCCTCAATGATTATTTTATTAGTGTATGAGGTTGGTAATAAAAGAAACAGTGTCCATCCAGTCATCGATTATGGTGAGTGCAGACGATGGGTGTGGATAAATGCAACCTACTAAAGGTTTGTTAGATTAATAGAAATGGTATTCCAAACCTAATCAGGAAGTTCCCGTAGGAGTGGTTCATTCAGAGGAAGAACCAAGGATTTGTCTTTGACCTAGATTATACAGCCACCACCTCTACCATAAAGGCGGTCATTAGGAAAGATGTTATAACCCAGTATGCCGAGCAAGGTGTCTGGCATCTCCGCTGAACACCATGTTTCTGTTATTAGTACTATATCAGGAGAGGAAAGGTGAAGCATGTTACGCAGGAACTGCATTTAATTTAACAATGAACGAGAATTAATTAACAGTAAGCGCAGTGACTTGTTAGCCGTTGGGTTGTCTACAGAAATCCATGTACAGGATCCCAACGAGGTGGTATTTGGAGAGAGTGGAGTGGGGGTGGTGGATACGGAGGACCTATACGTTGCAGAATTAGTGTCATTTGGGGATGTGACGGGTAAAACGCCACTGACCCCCAACAATGTTGGCTGTTGCATACAACCTACCTGTCTGTTACGATTACTCACATGTTGAGATAGTTTGCGAGGATTTTGGTTGTGTCAATTTCTCTCATCTAGGTGAATTTCATTAGCAAATGTCTCACAGGTTATGGAGCGCACAGGTTGCATATTCAAATGCTGCATCGTTGGGGATATGCGCATTGTCTGTAGGTTTTAAGAGGTGATAGCGTTTGGTGGAACGAATAAAATAGCAGTGTTTTATTGTGCTTAGGAGCACCTGTATAGATGCCACGTGAGATTTTGCTATCAGTGTTCTTTGCAACATGGCTGTTTCGTAGTTGTAGAGACACACAACATTTTGGAGAGGAGGTTTTCGGTTTCGTACCAGAACGTCTATGCACCTGGTTGGTGAACGACATACAATGAGTAGAATTAGTCGCTTACGCAGTGGAACTTCTATGTATGTTCGGAGACGAGTTGCGCAGTAATGTTGGGCTAACTTGACACTGAGTGGAGTCAGAAACGGTATTTTTATGACAGTTGCTATTTGATCTCAACGGCCTCTTGACTATCGTGGGAAGGAAGCTGAGGTAGCTGGGTCGTAGTCCGCTCCACACTGGATGGAACCACCGTTTGACCCTAGCACGGTCACGAAAACCATTCACCCCATCTCCTCAAATAAAGATCAACTTTATCCTCCAGCCAGTGTAATCGAGGTAGCGGTTTTTCGATGGACACATTGTCAATACCGATAATATCGTGGTACGGAAAGCAGGAATCATTGGTAGAAAAATAAAACCCCGGAAACTAAGGAATATGAAAGGTAACGAGGACACCCGGGAAGGAACGTCGATAAAGCAGCTGGGTGCCTACAAAACAAGTCGAAAACCGGCCACGCGTGACAAACGATGTCAGACCCAAGCGGAGAAGAGGGGTGGACATTTTGGTGGACAACCCGAATTTCCGGAGAATCCCCTCTGGCTGCGCCTCCGGGAATAAGCACGAATCGGTCGACGCAACTCCGATTAAGCAAGTCAAGGGCACTAGAACGAACCTAGTCCGATACGTGGGCAAATCGACGAACAGCGATCCTTGGATCGGTTGAAATCGAGGCAAGTATGTGATACCGAGCGAAAAGGACGATGTGTGATACATGGTGGGTTGGAAATGTCCTCCATCAGTTCGCGCCTGCGTGCTAGCCGGTGAACATGTTTTGCGTTGACAATATCAAACGGAGACATACCGTTCAATGTAAGGAAACCAAACGTGAATTTTTCACGTAATATGTAGTAGAATAACAGAAAGACTACTAAGTCGAATTTACTGTGTTAGTTCATATCAAACAAGTAACAACGAAGTTGAGAAACAAACGCGCGAAATAGTTGAATATTCGGAAGACTAAAAGGACTAAATGAATGAGATAATATGAATTAAGTCAGACTTAGTGTAATGCGGAAGAAGCTTAAGTATAAGGTTCTCTAGACCAACTACGGCCAGGTAGCGCTTGTCGGATCCGCTTCCGGCGGCATCAGTCGTGCCTGAGTAACCAGCTACTTGTCAAGGATAGCTGGACGACTGCTGTCGACTCTGGCCTAGAAACGCATGTTATATTCTCGGATTTCGCTAAAACCTTCGACAAAGTCAACCACAACCTACTACTACACAAACGGTTATCCTCCGACGTATCAGGGATCTTGATGGACTGGATCCAAACTACCTCCAAAACCGTACCGTCCAAGTACGCGTCAACGGAGAGTCGTCCCCCACATCCTTACCACTAGTGGAGTTCAACGGCTTCACTGCCTGCGCCATTACTCGCTAAAATACCAACGTCTCCGGGGCGACTTGATTGTTGTATTTACGATTTTATCCAACAATGAACACCTAATCACACTGCACCAATCGTGCCACAAACTACGTGGCCACCCACTGAGGCCCATACTTCAGCACAGTCGGCTACACTGCAGGTGACACTTCTTCGCTTTGCGAATCTGCCGACCATAGAATACTCTGCCTGACGACCTATTCTCGGCACCAAGTGTGGCTGAATTTAAGACCCGCCTGAACTGTCATCTTACTGAGCTACATCGCGACCTTCACTGAGACAACTACGACTCCGTTTCATATTCCATACCAGCCCCAGTCATATCCCAGCTGTCTCCGACCTGACGCAGAAGCTTGTTCCAACGCACCACACCTCGATATATACATTGATGATGACGTTTCTTTTCCTTTTTCCTCCACTTACTTGCTTACCATAGCCATTTCAGAGGGAGTGCGAGATGTCACGCTTTAGGCCGGTGTGCATTCTGTTAAAATGCTACAAAAACCTAGTGAAGGTACGGCTAACACGCGAGTCCAACCCGCAGTAAGGTTACTTGGCCTTTCCTCAGACCAGACGCTAACATGCTTTACCCCATAGGTAATGAAAAGCTCCAGTATTTAGTCCCATTAAGCACAGCATGCTAAGGTTCTAACATTAACCACAGCAGGTAGCAGTGTCATTACTGCTGACCTGCTATTACGTTGCCACAAAAAACTTGGTGACCTAGGCGAAAGCGTAGACTTCGGCTGAAGGTCGATCACACTAGCGCGAAGTTGGAGACTCAAGGCCACTTGAAGGTTGTGAGGAAAAGTTGCGAATTCTATTGGCCACTGGTGGGTCAAGGTCAGACTGATCGTATCGCCGCATTGTTTACTGGTGGGTGGGCAGCCAATCAGCGACAGTGTCTGGAATCTTCCTACATATTAAACTGAAGCTCGCTGGCTAGCCAAGTCGTGAAGCGGATTTGCCTCGACTGTGACCTCTCGTCTCATTGACTTGAAATGGACAGCGATCCTCAGGAACGGGTTATTCCCATTTCCACTGATCCTCGCACATTCGAACAAAAGAAAAAAGATTTGATGACAGATTTGAACAAGAGTAATCGTCAAGAGGCGAAAGCGCCTAAAGCGGTTTCCCCAAAGCGGCTAAATGAGGCCAACGGTCAACTCAGGCGCCGTGACTGGGCCGATGAGATTGACCACTGGCTGTGTGGGACGTACAAACGCTGGAATGATTATATGCGTCGAATGGAGAGGGATATGTTTTCCTTAGTGGTGAGTTTACTTCCGACATCACATTTCCTATCTTTTGTCTGGTGCGTATTTTCGTACACTGAAGCCTTATATATTGTGCATTTAAGCCCGCCACTGATTTCGACTTGGTGCCGTTTGTTCCACTGGGGTCGTTCGGTCACATCCCTTCAATACTTCAACGCATGGAACGACAGTTAGAGGCTGCGAATCGTTATTGGGACAACTTGCCTATGCTGACTGAGGATGGGGAATGGGGCTCGATCGTTCCGTCATACGCGCGCACAGATGGCCCACTCGACTTCCTTAAGGACGCGTACGAAGTTGGTGAGGATGGGAAGGTAGGTGTAAACATGCCAACGTTATCTACTGTTTTCTCGTAGTTACATTTCAAAGTAAAGTTTAATGTGAAAGGATTCGGACCGAAAGATATCAAGGTGTCGACGTCAAAGAACTGGCTTACTGTGCACGGAAAGAAAAGCAGTAAAACGAATTCTTCTTCTAGCTCTTCCGAGTTCTGCCGCACAATCTACTTACCGGAACCGGTGGACGAGGGTCGGTTTAAGTGCAACTTAACGTCGGTGAGTTGCTGCTTCGTGATTTGTGCTCCCGTAAGAACTCTGTTTGAATTTAATGAAATGACCATTCATTATGCGGTATATTTTTCATCAATTCCTATAGGACGGTATCCTGATGATAGAAGCTCCTGTGAAGAAGCCAGACTACGAATCGTTAACTTTTAATCACGAGCCTCAGCTGGCAGTGAAGCCAAGCACGGACAAATCATTGGCTTTGCAGGTTACCGGTGAGCGATCTTTGTTACTGCATTTTTGCTTGCTGCTATCTCGCACTTTTAGTGTATGACCTCGGTACACCTTTGCGTGATCTTTTTGTACAAGCTTATTCGTGTGTAATTGTTGTGGCTAGGTGTTCCTGGACCGACAGTGCTGAAGGATGGCGCTACGGGACAGAAATTACATGTCGAGGTCCCGATCGAACCCGGTTTCACAGCGGACGACTTGAATGTGCGTATCGACGCGAACCGTGTTGTAGTGTCCGGAAGAAAGCATGTGGTAGAAGAATCCGGTTCGTCCCATTGCAGCCACACAAAGGAGTTCCATCGGGCATATACGATTCCGGAGACGGTGGATCCGCTGTCTGTGGTTACGCAGCTTCAGGGTGAAACATTGGTCGTGGAGGCTCCGATGGTGAAGTCGACGTAGCTGCGGTCTTGAACGTATACTCTTCACCCCAATTGTTGTGGTACCAGTGCGCCTTCCCCTCAATATATTATTAATCCGTAAACTTCATATTTACTCTGATTTGGCTTACTGACTTATCTACTGGATTCTGCGCACCCTCTAAACGGCTTTTACAAGTTTTGACTGGCAGTTAGTGTAATCACGCACTGCAGATCCCTGCCTGGTGGGAGTATGTGTGGGGTCGGCACAAGCACACCATCCGATGAATAGTAAAGTGATCTGACCAGCAATTCAAGCGCTTGCGTATTTTCGTGAATTACATGTCGTCTACCTCACAAAATGTCAGACTGCGGGCGCGTGATTTTCAATCGGTGTCCTTGATGATGCAGAACAAACTGCGGCTCCCATCCCAGCAGCTCGTCTTGACTACAAATATTCATGGCCACCTAGTAGTTTGTCCAGTATGTCAGTCTGAATATACAACTGGGCACTGATCGTACATTTTGGTCCCATTTTATTCCATCGAATCGCTTATGCGCATAGTGACAGTTGAGCTGAGCTGTCAAAATACGTGCGTTTGGACAGTCAACGGGAAGTTGAGACTTGGTCTGGTTTCTATTAGATTCAACACAGGCTCCACGATCCCATACAAATAGTCAAGCGCTCATGCTCGCCTATCTACGGACTCAGAGGGCATGAGATAAGGCCGGAAAATCACTGGCATGGTGAGAGCTGTGTCGTTTCTTTTCTAACAAACCATATGTACAATAGCTGAACGGACTGCGTATCAAATACTGGTCCACGAATTGTGATTAATAAATCGATGAGAAGGAAAGCCATTTTGTTAAATATGGACCTCAGCACAGGAAAGGGACGGAATGCGCACGCGTAGTATGGAATCGATTTACTAAAAGCATCCTGCGTTACAGTGGTTAGAAAAGCCGGATAAAATAACAAATTAACTTAGAAAATTAAGGTATGATCATCCTCAACCAATTGTATGAGGGCCTCTGATTTACCAACCGATATTCAAGTGCATACGTGACATCACCGTAGAGCACAGTGGCCAGGCCAGCGCCGGGCGATACAGAATCTCAGTACATCCAGCACTAGGTGGTACACTCACAGTCAATTGGTTATGTGTGGTGGGGACACGTATTTGACCAGTCAAGAGTGTGCACTGAGCCCTGCTTCGTAGTTATGTAGGCCCCGTGGGGACTCTGCTTTGAGGGAACACGTGGGCTTCACTAAGTTACTCTTTAACCTAGCTAATGACGTCTTTGACGAGGGCTACTGTGGAGTGATTTTGACAATTGGCGTGTATGTTCTATTTTATCGGCGAGGACGATGGTCGGAAGATGGTGCTGAGTTAGCAACTCCGACATATGCTGGTCGTTCTGGTGTGTTTTTCCAGGATACAAAGAATTGGTGTAACGGACCGGTCAGTATAAAAACATTTCCTGTCGAAGGCGAACTTGCTTGGAGGGGTACACTCACGTGTTATCACCTAGAGCGATCTTTTAACGTGCTCTATCAGGGGGTGACGTTGCTACTTCCATCCTGTGCAAACAACTATCTCGGAAAACAGAGACGTAAAAGGGAATTCTGGTAGCGATCTCGTTGCGACAACAATGTGCATGTTATGGAGTTCTGTGATGTACCTCCACTCTTCGATGTTGTGGTTCTGTCGTTTGCTTTTATCGTCATGCTTCATCTCTGGTAAATCACGAACCAGTACCACGTGCTTCTTATTTTCACGTGACAACTTCGGGTCAGATTTCCGCTTCTACCTTTCTGCCCATGGCTTGCCCGGAAAATTGCGGGCACTGACAGAAGAGTTCACTAGAATGTGCCATGCTAAGAGACTACCGTCCAGCTTCAGTGTTGCCAAATGTTACTCGCAGTAGCCGAGGTTCCCCTATGTGCACAGATAAGCAATTTCATGAAAGACGAGTAACAGTAGTTGGGAGAAGTTTCAGTTCGAGTGCACAGCTCACCTCAGCCTGGGGTTTTCCGTCCTCGACTTGTCTACCTTCTAGCCATTCGCTGGTTGGTGCAGAGACGTTTGATCATATCACTGTCATCGCCTTATTGGTTGCGTAGTAACTGTTTGTTCTACAGTTCTTTGTGAGCGGAGATTGGTCTAGTGTTCGTAGCTGAATTGCGTAGATGTTGTTGCCCAGCTACTATCGGTGGTAATCATACAATTTGTGCGTAACTCTGAAAGCTAACAACGGGTCTCCGATACCGTACTGTTGGAGTTTAATGAGCAGGATTCGATGATCCAGGCGATCGAAGGCTTTCGAAAAGTCCAAGAATGCAACATCGACTCCTGTTCCCTCATCGACAGTCTCGGTCCAGTTGTCACGAGCTATCAGCAGATTCGTCGTACATGAACGATGTTGACGAAACCCATGCTGTTCTGGCGCAATTATGCCGTAGTTTTCCAAGTATCCCATTAACGCATCTGCTATCACCGCTTCCATGACTTTGGCTATCACAGGCAGAAGCGTTACGGGGCGGTAATTGGCAGGATCCGATCGACTTCCTGCTTTGTATATGGGCGTTATTACACCTTGTTTGCACCTCGAAGGTACGACGTTCTCATCGAAAAAGCGCTAAAAAATGCAGCTAGTGGCTCGGCCAAGTGGATGGCAGCTCCCTGTAATGTTTTCGGGTGAATGTTATCGGCCCCGGGAGAGCTGTGTGGACGCAAGGATAGCAGCTTTTGCAGCACCCTTTCTGCGGTGAACGTGACGTTGGATAAAACGGACGGTGGGGTAACTAGTGGCCGAATATACGTCGAGGCTTGTACACCTTGGAAGATTGGGGAGTACTGGGCCCGTAATGCGTTGTCCGCCTCCTTCGCAGAATGTGTATACCCACTGGTTGTATTAAGTGGTGGGATTCCCCGTTGCACCTTGCGAAGTCCATTCACATGTTTGTAAAGAAGCTTCTTGTTCGAACAGAATCGTTTGGCTAGCTCCTGCTGATGCGTTCTCTTGTCTTCGCGAACCAAAAGCACACAGTAGTTGCGATGCGAAACGTATTCCGTCCAGTTTTCTGCACTGGGGTTGCTTCTATACATGCGCCATGCCCGATCCCTTAGAGTCATGCATTTTCGCGTCCGGCTTCGCAAGAATGATTTCGCTGTGCGGGGATGTTGGGAAACTTTTGGTGCTGAGGCTTCTATGACTAGTGACGTGATGGTGTTCGCAAATGTCTCCCAGGCTAGTTCTGGGGTGCAGTTAGATAGAAACGTCTAACTGGTATTCTCAACTAGAGCAGACAGAACGTGGTAATGGCTAACAGATTGCCTCGTTTCGAGCTCCGCAGCTGGATATTCGGCGTAGCAGATGTAATCGAACTGCAAAGTCACGTGATCGCTACGGCCCAAAGGACTGCACACCTTTAGTCCATCGACCATGAGCTCTTCGTTAGTGAGCACTAGATCTAATACCGATGGGTTGTTTCCTGTTCTGAACCTGGTTGGAACGGTGACGTGGTTATACAAGAAGGTGCTAGAGAGTAGCTCTTGCAAATATGCCTTGAACACTTCTGTCTCGGATGCTGGATTTTCCAAGTCATGGGTGTTGAAATCTCCTGCAACGAGGATGTGGCTGTACTTCTGATTAAGCACGGAGCGAAAAGCGAAGATAAGTCTGTTGTCCCTTTCCGGAGTGGATTTCGGTGGTCGGTAAACCACAGAGAGAAGGCATACGTCGTTGCGTTCCAACCACAGTTTGCACTAAAGGACGTCGGTGACACGAGTCTGGGGATCGTCTATGAGCTCACAACGAAGGTTCGTTCGGAAATAAATGA